CAGAATTGCAGTGGGAACAGGAGCCAGCAGCTGGAGGGCTGGGAAGCTGAGTCTGTTGTGTAGAGGTGGAGAGGACAGGGAAGAAAGTCAGGCTGCATGACGGCTCAGATTCTGCAGAGGAAGGACTGCAGAAAAGCTGCACACGCGCCTTCGGAAGGACTGTGCAGCAGCTAAGTCCGTGGCTTTCGAGTCAGGCTGCCCAGGTTTAAATTCAAATCCCAGTTCAGCCACTTACTAGCTCATGACCTTGGGCAAATTATCTAACCTCTCTAAACCTCAGTTCCTTCATCTACAAAGTAACGATAATAACAGTACTTACTTCAAATCGCGGTTGTGATGATTAAATTAGATAATCCAAGCAAAGAGCCCAGTGCAGAGCTGGCACATTCCAAGGGCTCAATCGACAGTAGGTGGTATTGGTGGAATTATGGAAGTGTGTGTGTGTGTGTGTGTGTGTGTGTGTGTGTGTGTGGGTGTGTGTGTGTGTGTGTGTGTGTGTGTGTGGGTGTGTGTGTGTGTGTGTGTGTGTGTGTGTGGGTGTGTGTGTGTGTGTGTGTGTGTGTGTGTGGGTGTGTGTGTGTGTGTGTGTGTGTGTGTGTGTGTGTGTGTGTATTAGTACCCCCCCATCTCTCTCTCCTACATGAGTAGTTCTGCCCCTCAGATACTTTTATTATCTTCCCTCATTCTCCCCCTGCTCAGTCCACTGTTTGCCTTTGCTCTTGGACATCCGTCACTGTTTCCCAAAGTCGGTCCTTCTCAAACCAGTACCCAGCTTCACTTATCTCTCTGGTCGCTTGCTCTGGGTAAGATGGGAGCTATGAGACCCAGAGACAGAGGCCTTGTCCAAGGAAAATGAGGTGTCCTGGCAGTGGGGATTCTTTGGCCTTCTCGGTGCTGTCGCACTTGGCCACCAGAGGGCAGCAAGTGCACGAAGCGTAGTTCTGGGAACCTGGTGCTAGGGCAGGTGGAGAATCCAGAAGAGGTGGGAAGAGGTTAAGGGGCGACGTCCACACTCTTGAGGTCGCTTCTGCACAGGCAGCCCCCGGCTCCACCAACCAGAGAAGTCGCTGAGAATCTTGGGTACCCGGGCTTGGTTTCCCACCCATGTGAGCTAAGTGACTTGTTAAAGGCGGGGTCACAGGGACTGTGCGCCGGGAAAGCTGGGAAAGGGTTGTTTAGCAAAAGCTGTCAGCAGAGGAGAACGGAGCAGGGCAGAAGGGGTGAAAGAAAGGACAGACAGATGTCTGAACTAGGCAAACACGGTCATGCATGCACAGGACCGGGACGGTCACTGGACCCAGGAAGGAACCCAAGTGCTGGTAGCCGAGGTCATTAGGTCAATGCCCCTGCCGCTTGGCCGAGAGGCCCCGAGGCGGAACAAGGCCTTTCCTGGTAGCAGTGTCTGGTCGCGGTCCC